AAAACGTCTGCCTTGAGCACAATCAAGAACTATCTATATGGGATCGAAGTGAAAACAGCAATACAAAAGATGAACTAGGAACCTTAGTGGGCAGTGAGTTTTTGTTAATGGGAGGGGGAACAACTCAAAAAAGGAGGGTGAGAATGTTGGCACAACTCAAAGAATGTAATCAATGTCACTGAATTATACATGTAGAAAGAGATGAATAGGTGTATGTTTTGCCGTGTATATTCTCAACAACAACAAAATAAAATTTAAAAAAATTTGCCAAATGTTCCCTAAATGCAGTGCTGGCCCATGTTTCAATACCTTGTCTTATTTTTGCCTATGTCTATATGCATAACCAAGATCCATCTGACATCAGCAATGATAGTCCTCATTCCACGTCCTCTTCTAAATTCGGCTTGAATTTCTTGCAGTTCCTTGTCGATGTACTGCTGCAACCATTTTTGAATTATCTTCAGCAAAATTTTACTTGCACATAATATTAATTACCTTGTTCAATAATTTCCACATTCTGTTGGATCACCTTTCTTTGGAATGGGCATAAATATGGATCTCTTCCAGTTGGTTGGCCAGGTAGCTGTCTTACAAATTTCTTGGCATAGATGAGTGAGTGTAGAGAATACCAGAAAGATGTTTACTTGTGTTTTGTTGACTACACAAAGGCATTAGACTGTGTGAATCATAACAAATTATGGATAACATTGCAAAGGATGGGAATGCCAGAACATTAATTGTGCTTATATGGAAACTGTACGTAGACCAAGAGGCAGTTGTTTGAACAGGACAAGGGGATGCTGTGTGGTTTAAAATCATGAAAAGTGTATGTCAGAGTTGCATCCTTTCACCATACTTATTCAATCTGTGTATTGAGCAAATACTCCGAGAAGTTGGACTATATGAAGAAGAATGGGGCATCAGGATTAGAGGAAGACTCATCAATAACCTGTAATAGGCAGGTTACGCAACCTTGCTTGTTGAAAGCTAAGAGGACTTAAAGCACTTACTGATGAAGATCAACAACTACAGCCTTCATTATGGATTACACAACATAAAAAAAAAAAACCCAAAATCCTCACAACTGGACCAATAAGCAACATCATGATAAGTGAAAAAAATATTGATGTTGTCAAGTATTTCATTTTACTTGGGTCCACAATCAATGTCCATGGAAGCAGCGGTCAAGAAATCAAAGGACGTAACTGCATTGGGAAAATCTGCAAAACACTAAGGACTAAGATGCACCTGACCTAAGTCATGATATTTTCAACTCCCTCATATGCATGGGAAAGCTGGACAATGAATAAGGAAGACGGAAGAAGAATTGATGCCTTTGAATTATGGTGCTGGTGAAGAATGAATATGGACTACACCATGGTCTACCAGAATAACGAACAAATCTATCTCAGAGGAACTACAACCAGAATGCTCCTTAGAAGTGAGGATGGTGATAATTTCGTCTCATGTACTTTGGACATGTTATCAAAAGGGATTAGTCCCTGGAAAAGGACACCATACTTGGTAAAGTAGAGGGTCAGTGAAAAAGAGGAAGACCCTCAAGGAGATGGATTAACACACTGTCTGCAACGACGGGCTTCAACATAGCAACAATTGTGAGGATGGCGCAGGACTGGGCAGTGTTTCCTTCTGCTGTTAGACAGGATCGCTATGAGTAGGAATGACTCAACAGCACCTAACAACAACAACATATGCATAACTGTCTTGCCATTTAGCCTGAACAGAAACTGTCTGTAGAGACTGTTAGTAAATATTTATCTAGCTCCACATCTGGAAAAGACTAATCAAGTACTTTGCAAATGGAAATCTACTACCTTCCATGGGCCAAAAATCTTGTTGTTGTGGTCAAATCAACTGACTCATGGTGACCTTATGTATAACAGAATGAAACATTGCCCTGTCTTGTGCCATCTTCATGATCTTTGGTATGTTGGAGTCCATTGTTGTGGCTATTGTGTCAAACTATCTCACTGAGGGTTTTCCTTGTTTTCACTGACCCTCTACTTTACCAAACATGATCTCCTTTTCTAGTAGTTGGTTTTTCCTGATGGCGTGTCCAAAGTAAGGGAGCCTAAGTTTCACCATCCTCACTTCAAGGGAGCATGCTGGTTGTATTTCTTCTAAGACTGATTTGTTCATTCTTCTGGCAGTCCATGGTATATTTAACATTCTTCACCAACACCACAGTTCAAATGCATCAATTCTTCTCTGTCTCCTTTTATCATTATCCAACTTTCGCATATGAGGTATTGAAAAGACGGTGGCTTGGGTCAGATGTGCCTTAATCATCAAAGTGACATATTTTCTTTTTAAAACTTTAAAGAGGTCCTTTGTAGCATCTATAGGTTGCTAAATGGCTGAAGACATTCATAAGGTCAAATTTTTTCAGGGGTCAGATGTTTTAATGGTCAAACCCATGTCTGGATTCCATTTCTGATGAAATGATGATAATCAAGTGACATATATGTGCTTTTTGAACCTTTTGACAATTTGATAATAACCAATTAAGACAATCAGATAATTCAAGTTGCTTTATTGGCCCATCCCTCGCAGATTGACATGTATTTGGATTTTCCCCTTGAAGTTAATTTCACTTTCAGTTTGGTGAGGAGAGAAAGGCAGAATTTATTTTGTTAGGTTTACTACTTATAATTGAAACAACTTTATTGATATTGAGTGTTTCTTGTGTTCCTAAAATTGCACTAAAATAAGTTATGCTATAAAATTGTTTAAATATGGTCGTATTAGGATTCTAATGCATTGCTGAATTATATTTAGACTTTTTTGAGTGTATATTTATTAATGCCTTAATTTTATTTTTTATGTGTTTGTCTTAATAAGAATAATAATTTATTTCAAACTGAATTAGCAGCTTACCTTCTCTTTCTATATTTTAAGAGCAATTATGAAAATCAAAATTATGTGCTCACTGAAAATTTTAATAAATGTATCAGGTATAGTTGCATCTTATGAAGATGTGTTTAATATTTTCTTTATTTCCTTTGCAGCCAGTGGTTTGAGCTTTCTATTTCTTGTATCGTTCGGATGATTCTTTTAAATGGAAAATCATCCATTTCAATGAGATTTACAAATGTATTTACATTAAATTATTATAGCATTTTCTTATATTTTCTCATCGGTGATTTTCTGCCCTTTCTATTTTCTAATATTTTCACACTGTTGGTATTTCCAATTTTGGTCATATAATGTCATATGTATATTTACTTATTTTATAAGCACTATATTCATTTTTTTTCTATTTAATGTCTACCAAATATCCATTATACCTTATTTTTTTTAATTCCTTTCCCCAAAATTATTTGTTTTGAAACAATTGTATTTTTCATTTGCCTAATTGCTGATTATTTTTTATATAATGTTTACTATTTTCTGATTAAAAATTGTATGTTTACCAAAGAAAAATCTGGAAAATCAGAAAAAATATAAAGTAAAAAATAATTATTCATAATCGCATTTCTCAAAGATAATTAACATTTCAGAGTGATTTCTTCAAGTTATTTATTTAATTATATATACGTGTGTATATTTATGGCTAAGGCCATTCATATCTTCACATATTTATTTACACTGATTCCCAGGGCTTTGCTGCCACACAAGAGCTTGGAATAAGCATTTATAAATAGGGGTGTGACAAAAATGAGGTATGCATGGTTTTTTTGGATAAAATGGAAAACCAGCTTAAATATATGAACATTTCCCACAAAATTCATTCTTTCATAGTAAAATGTAGGCTAATATATAGTAGCTAAGCATATGAGCACTGGATTTAGACTTCCAGAGACAAAAAATCCTGGTCCTGTCACTTATTAGCTGTATATCCTTGAGTAACTTTACCTTTCTGTATCTCAGTTTTTTAATCTGAAAAGTGGGGATGATTATAATACCTACCTCACAGGGTTGCTATGAGAATTAAATATGACAATCTATGTAACCCCCTCACATAGTTAGATTCAATAGATGATAGCTATTTCTATTGTGTATTTGTGAATACTCATGTGCATGCTTGTGGAATTACCTATATAATTCAAACTTCAGAATGAATGAGAAATCAATGATGTACACTTGCTACCAGACTTTTGTCCATATTCTTATATCCAATCATTGTTCTTCAAGACCAGCTATATGCAAGTTTTTTCTATTTCCACAATTTTTATGACCCACCTTAGTTCACCCCACCACACAAAAGTTCAAATCCTATATCTGGTATTCAAGGCCCTCCATATTCTAGACTTCTAACTTTTCTAGCTTCATTACTTACTACTCTCTTCTATATTTCTAGCCAAACTATAGTATTTGGTGTTAGCCAAATCCCAGCCTTTTTCTTTTTCCATCCTTGCCTCTAGGGGTTTTCCAACCAGAATGCTTATTCTTTCTCTTTATTTAGTGACAACTTGAAGAACTTCCACCCTGCAAGGCCCAACTCAAATACAATTTCTTAAGTCATGGAAATCCCTGTGCCCCCTCCTCCTGCAACTCCAAAAAATCAGGAATTATGCTAATATATGTTAACAGTTCCTGGAATTTTGCTACCTTCTTTCTTCTTAGTACCCAATTTGAAATCCAACTTCTGTAAAACAAATTGTTCCCTAATTTATCAACTCTGCATATATAGTTTACTTGGACAAAGGAACACTTATATGAAAAATGGAAACTTATTTTCTGTTCCCGAAGCAAAATTGTGGTTTATCAGTAAAACACTAGGGCTCCAAAGTATGTTAATTATTCAATGCTAGTAAATTTGGGACTTCTGGAGGTTAATAAACTCAGGGTCTTGGAGGATAGTAGTATGCTTGTACTTGGAATCACATATTGCAGTCATAATGTACTTAAAAACACAGTATTAACTCTAGATAGTTAATATGCCACCCATAATACTTACTATTGAAAAGTAAATTAAACCTACAGGAATGTGGTTTAAAATTTTCATTTACAAGCAGCAATCTTACTTTTATGGTGGGTTATATTCCTGGAAAATATACAAAAAGATATAAAGAGTATTAAAAAGGAATAAGACTTTGACAATTAAAGAGATCAACTATTTATTAAGAGTGAGAGAGAAAGAGACATTTGCAAACAGGTAGTCAGTTTTAGAGAAAGTGTTGGGACTATTGCAAAGTGGTTTTTTGTTTATATGCCTTTTACAATTTTATGATAAAAGAAAGAATACACAGTTGGTTCTTTGAAGGTTATACAGTAATGTAGAAGAACAAATCACATAGAAAACATAAAATCCTAGAGATACGGGTCTTAGAAAAAAGAAACATTTAAGTTAAACATCTACTATTACTTCAGTGTGAGCAAGGTCCTTGGGGAAACAAGAAGGGACATTCCTGAGGGATTAATGAGGTCTGTTTGCAGAGATACAGTTAATGATAAGACACCCAGAAGTCTTAGAGTGTTGTCTAGGCTTCTGGGGGTTGTTTAATTTTAACAGGAGACACTGATTTTCTCATAGAAGCAATTTTACAATAAAGGGTTTTATTTTTAAACAAGTCTGATGCTCAATATTTTTATAGAAATGATTACATACTCCATAAGAATAATCTATTAAATCAATGATAAATGCTATACCTATATTCTGCGCTAGTATATAAAGCTTTTTAAAGGTAAACAGCATATCCAATCGCACATAAACTGCCTTTGTCATATAAATTATGTATAAAGTTATTATATTCCGCAAAATTCCTTCCCATTTTTACCAAAACCACTAGAAGGTGAAAAAGTCTTTCATCAGAGCTGTGGGATTCTGAAAGTTTTCTAGATGGATTTTGACAGGTGTCTTTGAAAGATTTGGGGGCAACTTGAGGGTTTTTTAGTGACTTTTTGAAAAACTGATTCAAGGATATATGGTTTTCTGTCCTCTTTGTTTCACATTACGTTCCTGTAGTAAGCATAGGGATGACTGTTCAAATTTTTGTTCATTGTCATACTTTAAAGCAGTTTCACTCATTTCTTGGGCTGCAATCTCATCAGTCCAAGTATTATCATTTCTGCCCCGCCCCCCTCCCCGGCATTAAGTAAGGCAGTCCAGCCTTTAAAATTCAAGAACTAACCCATTTCTTGCTTGAATGTTTTTATCCTTTTCTTTCTCACCATATTAGGGATTTACAATCGTTAACCTGACTATTTCAGGCCCAAGAGATGGAGTCACATCAGCAAACCAAAACTTAGCTTATAATGCCTAACCTTCCCAAAAGCCAATACCCAAGTCAATCGACTCTCCCAGAAAAGGAAACCCAAGCTAACCAATCAGGACTCGCCTGTTCAGTTTAACCTAGTTCAAAATTAACACTTAATCCCAAATAAAGAAAGAAAATGCCCAATAGCCAATCTGAAATTTGCCCACTATAACTTCCTATACTGTCTGTGCCTGCAAAACCCTTCCACTTTGTACCACTCTTCAGAGATCTAGTCTGACTTCCAGACCAGAACCCCCTACCCCAACTCATGAACTGCAAATAAAGTTTATGAGTTTGTACACGAATTTAATCTTGTGGAAATTTTATTTTTAACAGATGTAAGAAAAAAAACCCAAAGATTCTGGTTTATTGATGGCCAAAGTGAATGCCTAAAGCCAAGCCCCACTGCTGTTGAGTGGATTCCAACTCACAGCGACCCTATAGTACAGCGTAGAACTGCCCCATAGGGTTTCCAAGGCTGTAAATATTTATGGAAGGAGACTGCCACATCGTTCTTCCACAGAGTGTCTGGTGGGTTCCAACCCCTGACCTTTTGGTTAACAGCCGAGTACTTTAACCGCTGCACCACCAGGACTCCTTCAAAGTGAAAGGCACATAATTTAATTTGCCAGTTAATCCACAAATCATGTGCTTGATGCCCTACTTCTTGCCAATCCCTTGAAAAAAGGGCGTATGAGTGTGACTATCGAGAACTGAGGCTACTTTTCTCCACAAACATAGCAGCAGGATACGTAGTTCCAAACTGGTCTCTTTCAAAGTCATCTCCTTAGGGTGGGATTGTCTACACAGTCATTCTGTCAATGCTGCCATTAATTCCAAGCACGTCTGAAAACCTTTTTTAGACATTTCCTTCAGATCCAGGTTAATAAAGAAAGCACAAGAAAACCAGTTTTGTTATTTTATAGTTACGGAACCTTTTCCCTTACCAGAAATCTTCTTATTTTTTTTCTCCTTCTTTTTTCATTTGTCTCTCTTCCTAGTCCATAGCCAGTCTACTCAAATGGGTATTCTGAGTACCACTACTTCCTTTCTCCTTACTGCACACCAGTATCTATGCTCTTTAAATTGCAGGCATAAAAGATGAAGAGTAATGGACTGAGCTTCATAAATGCCAACCTCAGAAGCTGAGGATCACTTATATTCAAATTCTCCTTATGGCTCTGAAACAATGGCCATAATCTTTGTAAAAAATGATGATAATAAAATTTCCAGAAGGATTTTTTAATAAGCACAGATATAGTAAACCTTAAAGAGTATGGCTAGCTTCCCCCCCCCAAAAAAAATCTAAATTTTACAAAATGTTCATCTCTCAGCTTTCCAATTTTCTTTTTTTTCATCCATTTATAGGGCTTGTATATCATGCATTAAGCCTTAAATTATACTTTGTAAGAAATAATAAGCTATTTCAGGCTGTTATAACCCATATCATCAGCACTCTATAGATTGAGTCTGTACTAGGACATCCCAACTAATTATCATGTAATACCTTGAAAATTGAGCCTGACACGATAATAGCCCACAGCCTTTTCAGATAATCCCAGGCAAATTGTGCTGAAATGGTCTTGGTTTTATGTGACCTAGCTTTAATATGTGTCTTCACCATTCAAGTAAAGTTTAGAATTGATCTAGTAAATGTAACAACACAAAAAGAGGAAACAATTTAAGCAGATTCAGTGTATACTGGACAAATTTTGGCTCACCATTGTTTATTCCAAGTCAAGTTGCTTAAACTTTCTGAGGTTTCACTTATTCATTTATAATGGAAACCTCCACAAGTTTATTAGGGGGGCCAAATGAGATGCTATATGAGAAATTACCTAAAACCGTGGTAACTCAGAACACATTAGACATCCAATGCGTTTTAAATGAATGAATAAATTCTCATACCCTTTCTTCAGTAACAGGTTTGAGGTCTTGAACTTCATGCACACATTTGCCTCAACGCTTTACTCCTCCCTGCTGGTGCATTTATCTCTTAGAAATACTATAGATTTTTACTCTCATTCAGAAATGTCTTCATATAAAAGAGAGATTTACTTACTTTTACATGTTGGAAAAGATTCATGTATTTATTGTATTTTATTAACAACAACATTTACTGAAAAATGCTCAAAATAAAATATCCCATCTCTATTTAATTGGAAACATTTGTAAAAATTTGATCACGGTCTCTTAAATAATAAAATGCCTTGAATTTCGAAAGAGGAAACAAGCAAATCCCATATTCCCTTCCTGTCTCACATTTTCCACACTCTGTTTTCACGATCACACCCTTGTGACCACAACTATCACACAAGAAAACACCTATTTCTGTTATTTCCCAAAGTTCAATTAAAGAAGTTGTCTGACTAGTCATTCTGTCCTTTGGAACAAGTCAAGGAATGTGGGTAAACAAAGTCATAACTGAGGAATTACTTTATTTTTAGCTAATCATTGATGAACCACTCTCCCTGCTCATGAGGCGGGAACGGGTCACAGAGCTGCTATGGCGGGATAGTTGATCACGAAACTCTGAGGCCATGAAGTAATAGAGAATAGGATCCAAGAGGCAGCAGAGACTTGCAAGACACAGACTAAAAGGATGGAAATACAGTGTGCTTCGGACAATGAGACAACTGCTAATGATGCTTTCCTTTACCATGGTGTAAAAAATAAAGTTAATATGATACGGAGTGAAGCAGATGAAGAAGACTGCAGCACACATGAAAACCATCCGCAGTGCTTTCTGCCTCTCACTGACTCCTTGGAAAGCCTTTGGTGGCTGTCTCAGGGATGTAGTTGTTTTCCAGGTACACCATGCGATGATGACCACTGGGATCACAAATCCTGTCAGCTCAGCAACTGTAATCATCCCGACCAAAGCCACTGCATTCATTTGCTTGTAACCCAGATCAGCAAAGCAGGACTCGGTTTTGTTGGCCAAGCCTGAATTTCTCAGGATAGGAAATGGCAAACAAGCAGTACCCACAACAATCCATATAGCAGCACTGATGCCCACATCATACCTACGCTTCCAGTCTCTGGCCTTGAAGGGCTTGAGGAGAAAGAAGCACCTCTGAAGGCTGATGCACGTCAGGAAGCAAATGCTGGCATACATGTTGAGATATTTCAGGTAGAAGCACAGCAGGCAAAGGGCTCTCTGGAAAGGCCAGTGGTGGCTGATGTAATAGTAAATCCGGAGGGGTAAGGACAGCACATGAGCAAGGTCAGCCACAGAGAGATTGATCATGAAAATGATGGCTTTATTTTTCTTGCTGATGAAGCGGCATAGAACCCACAAGGCCACACTGTTAGCCAGAAGACCGGGGATGAATATGAGGATATAGGTGGTTGCATAGAGCGAGTACTGAAATGTCACATTAAGGGAAATGCAGCCAGTTTCAGCATTGCTGGTGCTGTTGCTATTCATCTTGAATATTTCAGTATATTCATCAAGGTAAACCACGGCGTTATGATACCTGCCCAAAACAAAGGAAAAAACAAAAGAGTATAATGATTAACTAGTTATTTAGCTAACCATCAGCTCTTCATTTTATACTTACAGAGATATAGGATATTAGAATTAGAAGAGACCTGTTTACAAATGTGGAAGCAGAGGTTCATGGAAACTGTACTACTGGTCCAAGGTCACCCAATGAGTCAGTTATGGAGCCATGGAATTGCCCTCCAAGTGCCCTCCCAGATTTTCTAAATTGTTCTTGGGGGCAAGGGTGTCCTGAAATATTCAGTCTGTTGTTTCTGCCACATTCAAAAGGGTGTGTATATCATCTCTGGCATTTGAGTCTATTTCCTTTACCTCCAAATTTGTCTTGCCTCAGGCCTGGCCAGAGTGAATACTGCCCACTCATCCTCAATTTCAGTGGTAGAAATTCAACTAGGTCACCTTGCCTCTTCTTTGTCTGTCACCTCACTCATTGTGTCTTATCTTCCTGCCTTGGTTCCCCAACACTTGGAAAATGGCCTTGCCTCCTCGAGCCAGCATGCCAGTGTCCTAGCTGATTTTTAGGGCTTGGGAATGTGGTTTCCCTATTATTCTGTCACAGTAGCTGGTGACTCTGAGGTTCTCATGCACTTTGTCTCTCTCCTTTGTCTTTGGTACCATTCCACATTTACCTGAAAAACTTCTGTAGCATATGGATTCATTCAGAAGCTGAACTGGGATATCCTTCCTTATGTAACCTGGAGGGGAAAAGACCAATTCTCCCTTTAAAAGTAATTCTGTGCTGGTGTGGTGCCATGGGTATGTCAGGATTATCCAACGGTCACAACGAACATTGTTTAGGGCATCAGCAAAACAAGACCACCAAAACTATTTTTTGGAAACAATTAACATATAATGCTTGTCTTTTGTTAATTAGTTATCATTACGAGAAAATCTTTTTTTGGACTTTCTTAATCATACTCTCTGCTTTAGTATGGTTTTTATTATGTATTGTTTGTGGGATATGGGTAGTATACGGTAATCTTTAGGGCTTTCCAAGGTCTGACCATGGAGTTGCATAGGCTGCCTACAGGTAAGAATAACAAATAATCAAAAGACTTATTGTTTTACTTTAATTCTCTGATAAGAACCCTTGGAAATAATCTGATTCAACCCCTTCATGAAACAGGTAGAAAAATCAAGGCCCAGAGAGAAGAGTTTATTAAAGCCACACATCTATTAAATGGAAGATCTGGGACTTCAAAAGTGAGGGCAAGGTGCTTAATCTTCATACCCGCCCTGCTCCCCACCATTCGTTTTCCTATACAAAACAAGTTTTACAAACATACCTTATATCCATATCATGGGAATGTTTATTGCACTTAGAGCTAGAAATGGAAGAAGTAAAGCAGTGAGTTTGTTTCTCAAGTGGGATAAGAGTTTTTGTTGTTGTTGTTATTGTTTTGTGTTTGTTTTGTTTTTCACAATTACAAAAACAAGAGTGGTCTGGTTTTAGTTTCTCCTCATAAGTAGCAGAGTAGCTTCCTACTTCATTTTCAGTCCTGCTCCAGGAGATTTTTTGTTGTTGTTGGGTGCCGTTAAGTAAATTCTGACTCATAGTGACTGTATGTGCCAGAGTGGAACTGCCCCATAGGGTTTTCTCAGCTATAATCTTTACAGAAGTAATCACCATGTCTTTCTCCCACAGGGCCTCTGGGTGGGTTCAAACCACCAACCTGTAGTTTAGCAGCCAAGCACTTAACCATTGTGCCATCAGGGCTCCAGGAAATAGAGATGTGATAAAAGAACAAAACTCCAAGTGGTGAAAGAGGGCTGATGTTATAAACTACTATTTCTCTTATGTTCAGTCCTCCCCCCCACTTGGCCTATCATGTGTTGTATGCCCTAAAGAACCATACAGTAATCTTTTGCATATCTGTATAACTTAGGGCCAGAGTGAGGGGGTAGAGGGTACTCAAGTTGGAAAAGTAGGGAATAATTATCATTTTGTGACTATCTATTCTGTATCCCCTGGTGGCACAGTGGTTAAGAGTTCAGCTGATAACCAAAAGGTTGGCAGTTCAAATCCACCAGCCGCTCCTTGGAAACACTATGGAGCAGTTCTACTCTATCCTATAGGGTTACTATGACTCAGAATCAACTTTTTTTTTTTGTTTTTTTTTTGTTTTTTTTTGGATTATGTATCCCCAAATTTGCAATGGGAGCTTTCCCGTGCATTATCTAGTTTAATTCTCACAACTACCCTAAGAGGTAAGTATTATTATTGCCTTTATAGTATAGATGAGGAAACTTCTCACCATGGCCTAAAGGTTATGTTGTTCTTTTCCTCATTCTCAGCTAAACTGAGATGCTTTCAGTTTCTATAACAAGCCAAGTGTTTTTCCTCACAAATACCTTGTTATAGATTGAATTGTGTCCCTCCAAAGCATGTGTCAACTTGGCTAGATCATAATTTACAGTATTGTGTGTTTGTCCTCCATTTTGTGATCTGATGTAATTATCCTCCATTTTGCAATATGTTGTAAATCCTAGCCTTTATGCCTGTGGTTATGGTCCCATTTGGGAGTGAGTTGTCCATTATGTTAATGAGGCAAGATTAGAGTGGGCTGTATCTTGAGTCTGCATTACTAGAGGGTGTGACTCAAGTCAACATCCTTATCCCAGTCACCACCCTTATTCAAGTCACAGCTTACTTGAGTCACACCTTTTATCTTACAAGAGGTAAAACGTGAGAGAAGCAAGAAGAGATAGGGACCTTAATATCACCAAGAAGAAGAGACGGGAGTGGAGAGTATCTTTTGTGTTAAGAACCTTCTATAACCAAGAGACAGAGAGAGAGTTGTAACACTGAAGACAGTGAGAAGCAGCCACAGAAATGGCAGCAGCAGAATCAGGAGACCGGCATGAGACAGCGTGGGAGCCGACCCACAGAGCGACAGAGTGCCTTCAGGCAGGAGGCTTCCTGGAAGAGTGGGGTGCCTCTGGGCACTTATCAGCGGAGCTAAAGAGCTTTGTAACACTTCCCCAAGAAGGACAAGAGGCTGGGCCTTGGGGCCAAGGGTCAGAGAGAGGCCTGCCAGTGGAAAGAGCTGAGTAGAGGCTGTCCTGATTGACATGGATGTTCTTCCAGATCCAACAGGAAAAGAAAGACTTCCCCATAAGCCAGCACTCTAAATTCAGACTTCCAGCCTTCTAAACTGTGATACAATAAATTTCTATTTGTTAAAGCCATCCGCTTGTGGTATTTATGTTATAGCAGCACTAGATAACTAAGACAGGCCTCTGCATATGTTGTTCCCTTTGTCTAGAATTCTATTCCTCCAGATATGCACATTTCTGACTCATTTTAAACTCAGTTTATGATCAGAGAGACCTTTCCTGCCAATTCTAACTAGGTGATTCTATAGGTAATTACCTATTCTCATACTCTATTCTTTCCCTTTGTAGCATCTACATTTGTAATATAGATGCTTGTTTACATGTTTATTGGTTATCTCACCTACTCTGTTAATAGCTTCATTAGTGTCATAACAAGACACCAATGTCATAACATCTGATTTGTTCATCATCATATAGCCATGACCTAGCCTGCTAGCTAGTAAGGACTCAAAAATATTTGTATAATTGGATTGAATTGTATCACAATGGTTCAAAGCCCTTTTTAAAAAGCATTAAAGCAAAAATGCAAGCTGTGATATCTCAACTAATACATTTCTGCTGCCAGCTGTTTCCTTGAAATTCTGCCTTCTGATCTGGGCTATTAGCATCAATATTCCCTGTGCCTTCCCTTTTCAACTCAGAAGGATAACGCCTGGAAAGACCTGAGAGAAGAACAAAGCAGTGCGGTTAGAAATCACAGGTGGTCAGACATATCCTGTGGATAGAAACAAGCATAACCTAAGTTCTCAGAGTATTATCAACACTATTATCTGGAGCTCAGGAAGAGAGGAGTCTTTGTGATCTGCTTTCAAAGGCATCTCAATTTTTCAATTTTATTGGTTGTGGTCCTGCAAAGGGTTATACCTACATAATATAATCAGCAAATGATTTCATACCCACCCATGTGTGGGAACTGAAATGGGGGTAAGAAGGCTGCATATGTAGTTCCCAAAGCTGTCTATGCCTATAAAGTAAACAAAAAGGGAAAAATAAACCTGTCAATTTGCTTTTTTCCATTGATTTTTTGAAATCCTGACTGCCTTGGAGGCCATCATTCAATCAACATATATTTAATAAGTCCTGTACTATGAGCCCTGTAGTAGGTTCTGTGGAGAATATAGACTCATAAGCCATGGTCTTTGTCCCTGACAAGCTTCTGGTCTGGTGGGAGAATTTTTAAAATATCCAAAAACACCATCAGTGCATGCTAAGAACTGAGGAAATGGTGTAGAAAGTGATGAGAACCCCTCATGTTAGCACAGCTTCATCCCTGTGAGGTAAACAGGACAGGTACCAGTAATACCCCTACCATATTTTTAGTTGATAAAGAGATGTATTCAGGAAACATTCAGTGCCTTGTTCAAGGTCACAGTGTTAGGATATGGTGGAATTAGAACTAGAAGCCAGGTTTGTTGGCCTCTTATTCAATGTTCTTTTCTCTATCAAATTCTGAGAGAAAGAGCACTTTGAGTTAGAGAAGGTGGTACTTCCTTTTTCCAGTACTTTCCGAATTTGTACTCTTCATCAATTCCTGTTGTCTCAGATGGTTTTCTTTCTCTAACATTATGATTACTGAGCTCCACTGTAAGCTGCACCATACTAACTTGTACCATACACTCCTAGAGACCTAACATTTCTAGATTTCTCCATTTCTCCTAGTCTAACTCAACAAACCTCCTTCATCTCACTTCCTCTCCTAACCAGCTTAGATTAAACAGTTGTTAAAATTGACCACTCTCAGACAAGAATCCTCAGCTTCCTTGCACCTCATTCTTCTGCTACACCAGCCTGGCAAAACACTAACCTCAGACCAATTCCACAGTCCTCTTTCTTTCCTACTACTTAAACTGCTGGAAGACACTAGTAAAAATACGAAGGTATTCTGGATTGGCACAACTACAAATTTATGATTTCCAGCCTAAGAGATTTTTTGCCCCATCCTCTTTTTGCAAACCTCTGCTTAGCATCTTCTTCTATTCCCATGGTAGCTATTCTGTACCTGCACATTTCTACTAAAGCTTCCTCCTGTTTCCTGCTCTCCCATCCCAGACCTTTCTCAGCAGACACGTCTTACCTTACAGAGAAAATTGAGGTTATTGGATGAGAAGCAACTCAACTTCATCCCTTGCACCCTCCCAACACACATATAATCAGTTGCATTCTTATTACTTCCCAACATAGCTGCCCTTTCAGTTCAGGATGAATTCCTGTACTCTTAATCCCATCTCTTCTTATCTCCCTCAGGATTCTCTTTCATTAATTGTTCCCTTTCACTCCTAGATCATCATGTTCTCCTCCACTCTCAGCTATATCTATGTCATCAAGTCTCTCTAACCTCCCAGATAATTCTTCTCTAGCACTTTATTCTAACTCTTTGTCACTTTCCTTCTTTTCTTAAATAAAATTTTCACAAGAGTTGTTTACACCAACTGTTTCCTTTTCCTCACTTTATATCCATTCTTCCCTGCCCTTCAAGATAGAATAAATATCCCCAATGACCTCACTGAAACTGCTTTGGCAAAGGTCACATGTGACCATCATGTTGCTAAATGATGCAGGACTTCTCTGCTGCCTTGGAAACTTTCTGACACTCTCCTCCCTTGGCTTCCAAAGCACAATTCTTTCTTGGTTCTCCTCTTTACTATCTGTGCATTCATTCTGAGTCTATTCTGTGGCTTCTTTTTGCTTTGTTTATTCTTTAAATGTTGATTTTTCTCTAGGTTTGTATCTTCTCTTCTTATTCAGCATACTCTTCCTGAGTAATGTTACCTAATTTCATGGATTCAATTACCACCCATATCCTGATGACTCTCACATGTATATATCCAGACCTGACTTCTCTCCAGATATTAAAGCTATATGTTCAACTTCGACCTGATATTTTCCATTTGAATGTCTCCAAACCAATACCCATTGCTGTTGAGTCAATTCCAACTCATAGCGACCCTATAGGACAGAGTAGAACGGCTCTCACAGGGTTTCCAAGGAGTGGCTGGTGGATTCGAACTCTGACCTTTTGGTTAGCAGCCTAGCTCTTAACCACTGCACCACCAGGACTTCTGAATGCCTCCAAAGCAGCCTAAAGCATTTCACAATGAATATGTTCAAAACTAAACTCTTCTTAGGAGTCCCTTGGTGGTGTAAATGGTTAAGTGCTGGAGTACTAGCCGAAAGGTTGGCAGGTCAAACCCACCCAGAGGCATCTTGG